TGCTGAATGATGTGACAGTAATAATGCTTTCCTATATTTTGAGGGAGCTGCAGAATAGTCTCGCTGTGCCCAGCTGGGAGTAAGCAAAATCTTGCCCGTTCTCCAGACATCTGCAGCATGCCAAAAACTCCCAAAGCTCGACGCTGTCTGTCACAGAAATTGTACGCTGGGTGCATAATCTAAAATTAGTCATCCACAGTATGTGCCCCTTTAAATGTTAATCCTTGCATCGTTTTCTTTTATTGCTTCTGTTGGCATACACGATTATGTGACATAATATAAAAGTAAATAATGTGATGCAATGGGTAAAACTCAAAGGGAAATACATATCAGAGATCAGATGCCTGATACCACAAAATAGGAAATAAAACTTACAGTGAGTTCAGAGTGAGGATTTTTGCCTGTTTTGAGGGCAGCAAAATCAAGCATATAGTGATTCTATTGTCTTTCTGGATGTTTTTGACACTTTGTAGCTCTTGAAAACTCATGTTCGTTCAGCGCTGTAGCTACTACTTGTCTTCAGGTGCAGAAGTAGCTGTCAGGGAGTAAGTAACTGTGGGTAATGGATACAAAGCAAAGCCCAGCAGGGCCATACAACAGGGCCTTTTGAAAAAAACAAACATAAATTTATTTTAAAGATCACAAGCCTTAAAAAACAATGCAAAACATGCATCTGAGATCTTATTTATTTTCCAGCACATGAACCCTTCTTGGGGGAGGGCAGGTACACAAAGTTGAGGACTTTGGGTGTTCAGTTGCCTCCTGGTAGGAAACCACAAAGGGAAAAAAGCACAAGCTGAGACTCAGCAGTAGGTTACAAGATATGGCAGCAGCCGAGTTCAGATTTAAAGATAAAGCTCAAAATAGCAGAACCCAGTGCAAGACCAACATTTTTTGACCCCTTTGCCTGGATTCAGTAAAACATATGGGTACCTCGGTGTGCGATTTTGCTTTTGCTGAATTGAGGTTTGAGTTACTCGCTAGTCTATTTTTACCTTTTAAGCGGCCTTGTAATTCAATATGTGTTTGTTTTAATTTTACACTCTCCATAAAAAGCACCGTACATGACGAGTTGGAGAAGTGACCGCTGGTAATGCATAGAAATTTAATCGGCTGGTGTGTCACACTGTTTTACTTTCCCCTCCTGCAAACCTGCGTGCCACTCGTGATCAAAAATACCCCACGGTACCCTGTGTCTCCTCCGTCACCTCGGCTTTGCCGCTGAGGCTCTGGAGATGCCGAGGCCGGGTGACATCAGCCCGGGCCAAATCCAGGTCACTCCGCCAGCTCCGCTCGCTCGTGCCGGTGGCGGTAGTGAAGAGCCAGGGCTGCAAGGCGGTGGGGACAGGGCGGTGATGAGTGGGACGGCGGCTTCCCCGTGGCCGCCGGCTGTGCCAGGAGCACGCTTGCGATTGCCTGCTGGCAGCTTGGGCTAAATCTCCGCATATGGGTGTTAAAGCCAGAAAGCCCTCTTTTTGCAGCGTAGCACTGATGTTGGTGCCTAGGGTCATAGGAGGTGGGTGTTCCATGTAGGGCTGAACTGAGACATGCAGCCCACAGCACCCTGCTGAAGGCAATGCACAGGCTTGGCTCTGCTTTTTTCTGCCTGTCATTTTGTCGATACCGCAGATTTTCAAACTGCTGCTAATGTGTTTTCGATTTGACAACACTGATATGGAACCCCCCCGTATCATATCACAACCCCCTGGCTCCCAGCTGCCTTCATGTGGTGTCTCAGCAATGCAGAGCTGATAAAATACTGGAGTGCTGGAAATGTGCCTCCTCCTCCTGTCCCTGCATCCTCCCAGCATCCATGTGCTTTAGGTAAGGATGTAAAAATTGCTACACCAAATCAAACAAATGAAATTGCTTCTGGTTTCCTCTTGGCTCTTCTGACCAAAGCGTGGGGTGAAAAAATCTGCAGTATGCCCAAATAGTGATAGAAGATGTGTCTAGGCACAACATCCTCCTTTGCTCATGCATTGGTCACCACGGTACCTGAAACATTGCCATTATGCATTCCTGTTGCCATCAGTGTGTTTGATAGCAGTGGGAAGGCTTCGTGCCTGTGTTTGCACTCACCAGAGTTTTGCAGTGCTCAAGGAGCAAAAGTGACTCAAGATCTTTGTTCTTAATAGCATTCCCGCTGTCAGATGGTAAAATACCCTGGAGAGATAGGTCTTACGTTATTATGAAGCCATAGATTACTTTTTAAGATTTAAGGAGAACAAAAGCAAGCTAAACACAAATATCAACAACATTTGATATGGGCTTCACCACTTGCTTTCAGCTTTATTTAGCTTTGGACTTGTATGCACCGTAAATTAAAAAACGTTGCTCCTCACCAAATTACGATCAGTGGTCTAATTTGGATCGATCATCAGATTTAGTGATGGTGGAAAACTCCTGCCCAAACCCACCTGAACCATTCGCAGAGGAAACTAAACCCACGACAAAGAGAGCAGGTTTGCTCTGCGGTGGCACATCTACTAGGACAGCCCATGTTGCCTGTGCTCCTCTCTCCTGTGGTTGCTGCATCCTCCCATTGAGACAGGGCTTCGCAGCTAACTACTGCAAGGTAACTATTTTTGTGAGACTCATTTCCCAGCGTCAGCCGGCAGTGTTAAGCAGAGGTTGGAGCTGTCCCCAGACAGCTCCACGCGTGGTCTCCTTCGCACCAGCGTCAACCTGGAGTAGCTTCTTCAGGAGATGGTGGGGATGAGGTCAGACTCTGCTCCTGCTCCGTCCCCAGCCTGTGGCAGAAATAACTCTTGTTGTCATCAGAGCGGTCACTGTAACATGGATGAGGTTCAAGTCAGGCCCAGTAGCTTCAATGAGATTTTTGTGCGATTATAACAAGAATTTGACACACATGGTGAGCTACTAGTCATGTATATGTGATCTGTCTCCACGCTGTCCCAGGAGGTATTTACCAGCATAAAAATCAGTTAACGAAGGGACGTGTCCCGAGCAGCAGTCTGCTGCTGCATGAGGGATGACCCGGGAAGCTCGGGGATGGATGAGCTGTGTCGTTTCCACTTGCAAACTCCGTCAGTTTTGCCACCCTCAGTACTGGGAGGGAACATTGACTTCATTGTGGTTTTTTGCTGAACGCCACAGCAGAATTTATGCAAAGTTTTCTGTGGACGTAGCGGGAGTGCTCAAAAGCTCACCCCATCTAAAGTGCCTCAGGTCCTTTAGGATAATGAGACATTTTCTGAGTGCACCTTTTTATTGTACCAATATTACGTTACAGGAAAAATGGAAGGGGGGAACTTAACACATAGCACCTGTCACAAGTTCTCTCCTTGAATTAGGCTCTCCTGCTTATAAAAATTTAATTGATTCCTAGCAGTTTATGTGCATGGTGCTCAGTGGGTGTTTTCTGTTCTCTTGCCAGCTACATGGTTACTTAGAAAGCGAGCCGCTCACGCTACAGCTGTTCATTGGGACTGCAGACGACCGCCTGCTGCGACCCCATGCTTTCTACCAGGTTCATCGAATCACCGGGAAGACCGTTTCCACCACCAGCCACGAAACAATACTTTCCAACACCAAAGTCCTGGAAATTCCACTTCTTCCAGAGAACAACATGAGAGCAATGTAAGACCCAGGCACCGCATCTGACTCCTAGCAGTTTCCTCTTGGTTGCCCAACTTGGTTTCTTCTGTGTTGGGTTTTTTTGGGTTTTTTTTAAACACAATTTTCCTTTTCCTATCTTTTTTTTTTTTTAACAGTTCTCTCTGTAATAATAGGTTTTCACAACTTTGCCAGGACAAATTGCTCCTAATCAGCTTAACAACAAAATGAACTTCACAAATATTTATGACAGCTGATTGCTTTCATTCTAGAGTTTCAGCCAATGTGCTTATTTGCCATTTAAAATAAGTATCTCAGTTACCGAGCTGTAAATATCTCCTACCTCAGCTCCTGCATTTAGTTTCTAAATATGACACCTCTTGCTCCTATACGCACTAGCACAAGGAACAGGGCCTATTAAAATTTATCTTTGGATGTCAAAGGAAACTCTTAGACAGCATTTCCAAGTACCATAGTGTTTTTTTGAGATTAATAAACCCACTCTTATTTCTTATGTAATAAAAATGAGCATTTTTCGTGGCATTTGTTTAGAAGTAAAGCTTCTAAGAACTAAGAGGAAGAGTAAAGGTGATAGAGCTTACAGATTGGAGTTATTAAACTGGAGTAAGTTTAGTCCTATGCGGAAAAGAGGATGTCTTAGGATCTCTGAATTAGTAGCAGTCTGAATGATAATTAAGTGCCCTGTAGGTCCATTACACACAGGTAAATTTCATTATAGGATTGTATATAAAGGTTCAAATATCCTTCTTTGTATGTGACATACATGAGACCCTCCACATTATTTAATGCCATCCTCTCTGCCTGCCTCATTCAAATGATCCTAGCCCTTATCTGAGTTGTCTGCCTTGGGAGGAGTCTGTGTGTGCTTGGCGTACATGTACAACTCTCAGTGTGTGTACAAATGCGAATGTATTCATATTTATATATAGATGCATGCACCTTTGTGTGTATGTATAGTAAGACAGAAAGATAAGTAGGTAGGTAGACAAAAAGCAAGCAAGAAATCCTGGCCCCACCAAACCAAATACCATGGGAAAATCCCAGGGAGCTTACTAAAATCACAGTTTCACTCCTTGTTATTCATACAGTTTTCTGCGCCTTTATGAAGTGAAAAATCATATCAGACACCTGAAGTCCTTCTGCATATAGTGGTTATTAGAAGCTGGTTTGCAATGTCATGTACAACATGCCCTGGAGTGCCTCATGTAAATAGAAGAGTTAGAATGTGTTTAGCTGCATTGCCAGCTCGGCTTAGGGTGATCACTCAAGACCTGAGGACCTCTGTCAGTGCATTGTGTTAAAAGTCATGACAAGCCTGCAAAATTATTGGCCCCATTTGCTGTCGTAAGCTGGCATGACTCCATTGAGGCTATTGAAATTTCACCAATTTGTACCCACGCAATATTTATTTGGCCCTTTATTTATCCAGTTTGAATCACATTTTTGGCCATCTAGGAACATTATTACTGTTTCAATCATCTTTCTCCCTAGAATAAAGGTAGTTACACAGTTTGGGAGCCAAGCTGAGCATTTTTGTGACATGCGTGCCAGATCGTAGTAGAACTCTCTCAAGAACGACAAACAATGCTTTGGCATATATAAACCTTACATGTCAGTAGTCTAAAACCTCATGTAGAACTAACAGTGAATTAAAATTTGGACCAAAGGACTTTTCTCACACATAGTTTGTGTATTTAGTGAAACACTGAAGCTCATCTGCACATTTAAACTTTTGCACATTTACCTTCTGTTGACTTCGTATTTTAAAGTCCATGACTTTACAAGCCTGAATTTAAATGCTTTTTCTCCTCTGAACTGTATTGGCTCTGAACTAATTGTCATTAAGTACTTTTTATTTATTTTACAAGTGTTGCTACAGGAGAGATAGTATTGAGAAGCTCACTGTTTCTTCCATATCTTATGAATCTTTGTGTAGAATTTTGACGTGGGTACAAATATTTCATAATTGTTAACAGCTTCACCTGCTAATATGCATTGTTGAGAAGCTTTAATACTTTCATTAGTTTCTTTGATTGTATCAGCAAGCGCCTTTTCGTTATTCTGAAATCCATACTTTAGAAAAAATGCAGATCAAAACTGTGCTGCCATAGTTCTTGTTTGCAGTTTGCTTCAGAACAGAGCTTCAAAAGTCTGGAGGGGGAATTAAACCCTTTGAATGCAAAATAAAATTAAACTATGCATATTCAGTGTAATAAAATGCATGCCAGAGACCAGTACCCAGAAGAAATCGCCGTGTAGGCTTTGTAGTTGTGGCCAAAGCACAGGTATTTTTGCAGTGGGTTTTTGAGTGCGTATGTTTATATATCTTTTGTTCTGGGAACTTCCTCTATTGAAATTTGCTTTGACAAAAATCCTGACTTGTAAACTCATCCAGGAGGAAATCAAAGTTAAAGAAAAGGAGAGATAGGTCAGAAATAGTAACAGTTCTATGTGACGAAAAGTACGTTTTTCCCTAATGTGGAGGGAGGACTCTGAGTTTAGGTTTTTTCATGCAGAGCTTCAGCTCAACACTCAGCTTGGGAGTATTTCCAACTCATTCAAATACAAACACAATGACAGTAGAACTGACCTCAGGGAGAGCTGTGCTCATGAATAAGCATTTTCAGGACTTTGCCCTAGAATAAAAAGTCACATCAGATTTTTCTCCAAATTAGCTGTAACAAGTGAAATCGTAAGTAACCCTGCGTTCTAGATTAGTAACACTTTGTGCACTACCATCTCATCCCATTGACTTTTCTATTCTTGCTATTTCTTTGGCCTTCAGTTAATCTGTAAGCACCATCCTTACAGGATGTGTTGGGGAGGAAGGATCTTTTAGATTTTCTTCCTCTGGGAACTGAAGTAACATACTAAATTTGTGTGCTCAACAGCAGTTACTACCTGTCACTACAGATAGCCCCAACTCAGCTACTTGTGGATGCAAGTACTAGGCTTAACATAGTCTGCTGTGTTCAGCCTGGTCGTTGCGTCGTGTCTGACTCGGACTTTTAAGGACGTACAGGAGAGAGGGAAGGTACTGCATGCTTGTGTTTTCCTGAAGTCTGCTTGAAATGAATTGAATTGCTCTGTGTTTCCTTTTGGATAGCATCGACTGTGCCGGGATATTAAAGCTCCGAAACTCTGACATCGAGCTGCGCAAGGGAGAGACGGACATCGGTCGGAAGAACACGCGTGTGCGGCTGGTCTTCAGGGTTCATATCCCGCAGGCCAACGGCAGGACCCTCTCCTTGCAAGTAGCCTCCAACCCCATCGAATGCTGTAAGTAGCAACAAATATCCTTCTTTTGCTGGGTATTGTGCCACCCCACACACAGTCTTTGTCCACCAACACGCTATACATTGGTTTTGCTTTACGTGTCTAGTTGATGAACCTTAATCTGCTTTCCAAAAGCACGTGGTTTATACTGAAGACAAAATACCTGTGTCTTAGAAAAAAATGTGTAGTTTTGTGCATTGATTTCTATAGGAAAGAATGCGCTTGAAACAAAAGTAGAGTGCACTTAAGCTAATAGTAGACCTGGGAGTGAGAAGGCTTTCTTTTTTTGGTGACTCCCTGTTGTACAGGTAACTGCTGTAGGAGTTTTGGAAAACAGCTATCGTGTCCTATTCACTCTCTGTCTCCCCGTCATAAAGCAAAAACCAGCAAACAAAACCCCAACCCCTTTGATGCGGAGCTAGCAGTATACTAGAGCTGACACACTGGCAAAAGCTGCCTGCGGCTTCAGAAAACCTTCAGAAACCAGGTTTCTGCACTGGGGTCTCTTTGATTGAACAGACTGCTTTTCATCAAATACACTGGGGCACCCTCCAAAGACACCTATATCATTCTTGCTTCGTAAGCCTTGTCAGCCTCCCACACACAAAATGAAACCTGTTTGCTTCGTGTAGCTTTAACGCTCCAGCATAAGTGGTGGAAATTGAATTTCAGTCTAACTCCCATTGCTAATTTGGTCATCTGGATGGACCGAAACAGTTTTTTAAGGTTTTGTTGGATTCCACAAAGTGGATCTTTCTGATGCCGACAGGGTAGGGAGTAACTTGACATCTGGTGGGTATGTGGGGGGTGAGTTCTGGGGGTGGGAAGCAGAGGGGATGGGGAGTAAGGCTTGACCATCCCTAGCCCCGTGCATGCTGAAGGGTGATGTCTGCGCTTGTCCCTGTGTCATTGCCAGGCTGGAGTCCCACACGTGTCTGGCAGGTCCTGGAGCATTTCAACATTTGATCTCTTGGAGGCATGGTGCCTTTTCAGGGATTGTTAATAGGCTTCAGGAAAGAGCATCCCTGCATTCCTCTTGCAAAAGAAGTGTCTTTGGTGACAGACTTTCAGACCAGCAACAACACTCCATCCTTTCATGTAGGGTAGCGCCACTGCCACTCTGGTAGTCCGAGTCTGCAAGAGAGGCAGAATTTGTAGGAAAGGGCAGTGCTGTTAGACCAACAGTGATAGCTTCTCTCCTTCACAGTTATTAATTTAAATAAACAAATGAATGTTGGCAGGGGGGGAGTTACATTAAGGTAAGCCTGTGTTATTTATGAAGAATAGCAGACCCTCCTTACCTATAGCAGGCAGACCAGCATAAAGCCCTGTCTTCTGTCCAAGATATGCATGAGAGGAACAATTCCCGCTTTGTTTCTTATTCAAGGGCAAGTTCTAGGCTAACAGGCAAAGCAAAAAACGTGAGGAGTCATGGTTTCATCCTGGTCCTGTTGAAGCTGATGAGAGCTTTTCAATTGCTGTATAGCAGGATAAAGGCACAATTTAAACACATCCTGAACTGGTCTGTGCAAAGGTGCCAAGCTCAGGAAGCCACTAAATATGAAGCCGATTGGATTTGTATCAGTGCAGTTTTGAGGGTTGTGTAATGAGCAAAAGCGTGGTACATGCCTCCTGAAAGGAGCGAAAAACAGGAGAAAAAATAAGTGCTAGTGTTATTTCCAGTGTGGAATGTGGAATAAGCTGGTGCCAAAAACTTCATGCATCTCTTAGTGCATGTGACACCAGGAGGAACCATGTAATCTGGATAAAATGTCACGTCATCCCTTGAAGCACAGCCACGCTCGCTCCGTGTCCCACTTGGGGGGGATAAAATATGTGCCACGAGAATACCGGAATCTCTTTGCATGGATCCACGTGTGCTTTGGCACTCAGGTGCTGGTGGAAATACGCTCTCTAAACTGTGAACTTCTACTGGATCGTGAGAACCCATGGCTGTGCTGCTGCTGCAAGACAGTTTGCAGAATTGACAATACAGTGTTTAGTGACTGAAACACATTTTGGATATGGATGATCGTCTTGTCATATGTGCCTTGTAAACACACACATGTACATTCTAGATAACATAAGAGAAAATTATTTTAAATAAATTAATTTTTAAAAAATATACTTTTTGATACAGTACAGATCAAGCCGAGTTTTAAAACAGCTTGTTCTTTGTGAGCCTTTTGAATCTGTACTGCTATGTTTGATAACCCTATTGTTTATGATCAAGGCGCTTGAAAATCAACCACATTTCCTGCAAACCTTGTGACCTTTCTTTGTTTCTATATCAAACTCCGCTTAGCTTATGAGGGTAAGCATTAAGCTACTTACTGATGCAGTATTTACTTACTTTTTACTTATTTGTGTGTGTGTGTGGTTGCCTTTTTTTTTTTTTTTTATCTTCTTTATAACTCCCCAGCTCAGAGATCTGCCCAAGAACTGCCTCTGGTGGAGAAGCAAAGTACTGACAGCTTTCCTGTTATTGGAGGGAAAAAAATGATACTGACTGGCCATAACTTTCTGCAAGATTCCAAAGTCATCTTTGTGGAGAAAGCACCAGGTATGTCTTTTCAATCTAGACTCCGGTCTGCCTCTTTTCCCCTGTTTTAAAATCTCTGCCAAATGATGAAAGCATAAATACAGTAATGACATTTTCTTCTGCATGTAATGTGTTTTCCATGTCACTGCGCAAAGCTGTGAAAATGGTCTGAGCTAATGCTGAGGTTTCACACTATGACAGGTGTAGTTACAGGTAGACAATAGCAGCATTGAAAGTCGAAGTTGGGCATTTGTTTTTGTAGCAAACTGCAGATGTAGTGGGTAGGACCTGTGAAAGGTGTTCGAAACCTCAGGTGACACGTCCCCACAAAACCTGCAAGGTGGTGCATCTTGTTAAACCTTTCTGTAATTTCTGGAAGAGGGAGTTGCTGGTGATGTGTATGTGCACGTGTGTCTCCTTCTGAGGCAGTCGAGACCGGTGGCATTTACAGTCCGCTGGCTGAGGGGGACTTGCAGCGCACATGCATTCATTCAAAGGAGATATTTCTGGTTTACCTTGAGGACTGGGGAAGGACTGCCGCCAGCTCCCTCCTTGCATGGCACTGCTCCTGCAGCGTGTTGGTGGTGGGACTGGTCCTCTCGGGGAAGGGTCCCCAGCCAGGCTGAAGCAGGGCAAGCAGCATGGGGTGGGAGCTGGGGCTGGAGGGCTGGAGCAGGAGGTGTCTGGAGGAGCGGTGTGTCACAGGGTGACAATGCATAACACGCGTGAATGCCCCTGCGGGAAAAGGCGGTGGGAGCAGAGCTGTGAGTCAAAGTCAGGCTCTGAAACGAGATCAGTAAGGGTAGTTTTGAGTCTTGTTTTGGAAAGGGTTTCCGTGGTGCTGGCACAAGCTACGGATTCCTCAGCTGCCGGCTGACCCCCCCCCCCGAACTTTAAACCATCTTGGGCGCTCCTCAGGCCGCCAGCGCTGGCTTTGATGCTGCTCCCATTTAACCCTCCATGTCCACGAGGTTCCCGTGCCATTCCCCTGCCCATAGCTGCTGCCAGCGGCGCAGGAAGCCAGACCGCAGGAAGGGATGTCGGGGTGAGCAGGGGAGGCTCTGGAGGCGAAGACATCTGAGTAGGCGCAAGTCTAGTGGGCTCAGGGGAAGAGCAGATGACTTCCCCAAAGTTCCTCGGGGGAGTCCTGGGTTGGTGAGGTTTAAGTCACCAAAAGTGGACGTGGGGTGGAGGTAATGCCCCGGCTCCTCGGCAAGAGCCAGTCAGCGCCATTCCTGTGACCCCCAAGCACCATGTGTGGTCGGGCTGTGGCCGTGAGATGAGCAGAACACCCTTCTTGTTTCTTAAGAAAGTTAAAAAAAAAAGGAAAAAAGGTGGTATTGCAATTAAAAAACAAAAATGGAACTCTGCTCTTTGCATAGCATGAGGGGAGGGAAGAATGTGACTGTCTACTTCATATTTAAACTTCCTTCACTGCACAAAAGTGGGATAGTGTGACAGGAGCAATGTCCTCTATCTGTCTCATTACAGGAAAGAAACCACATTAAAAGGTGCCTTCCTTCATACTTATTTTCTCTCCCTTTATTGAGTTGGAAAAATTTTGAAGTATTGTGTCCCAAAGGATTATGATGGTGATGCTACTCGCCACCAGCAGGTACCACAGTGTGGATTTGGACACCGTCTCCTGTAGCGTTAAGTACACCAAAAGCAGGATGTCCACTCTATAGCCTTAAATTACAAAAATGCAAAACGGGGCCAGCCTTGTACTTCTTAACCAGACAGATAGCTCCCTCAAGCAAAAGGAATTTGAGGCTGCACAAAGACAGCATGTAGGTAGAAAATAATTTATATAAGCAACATTTTTTAAACATTGTGAGAGGTGAAGGAGTGTCCTGCTGCCCACTGGGTGTGCTGATGGAAGAAAATGATCAAAAGGCCTTGCCTGTCACCCTGAAAAACTCCTGGGGTGAACTCCTTGGGTGCATGGGTTGGCAAGATGGACCAGTGCAGGAGTGTCTCTTCTACCTGAAAGCACCACCAGAGATCCCCCTGCACTCTTCCCCCTGGCATGGAGTCGGGGGCAATGCTGCTGGAGTCAGTGAGCTGCTATCATTGAAGAGTAATCAAGTCAGTATTGAAAGATCTGATCTGAAACTGTCCTGCCTGGTTTTAGTAGTCTCATGGTAGGTTTTTTGCGGTTGCAGGGCAGTACTGCCTCGTGGAGGTATATTGCAGGGGCCAAGCCTTTAAAGCCAAGAGTGCTCAGCATCGCCAGGAGCTGCAGTCATGCCACTAGGAATGACACACAAAAAGCAAAGTTGCCGGCTGATCTGGGCTGAGCAATTTCTAGGGCTTCTGTGATGAGTTGTGTGCTACGTTGCCTAACAGCTCGATGCATTGGAAACAAACAAGCGTGATGCATCGTTGTCTTAGTGGCAAACTGCTCCAGCTCAATTTTTGAGCAGAGTCACTGTATTCAATGTCAAATGAACAAGCTTTACCAGCCTTCACTTTTGAAAATTGACACATGGTGTTTCTTTTCTTTCCCTCTCAGCTCCTGCACGTTTATGAAAGCAAGTCAAGAGAGGGAACACCAGCATAGTTTCTCTTTCTCTTAGAAAGCTGGTTATGAACTTTTGTGATTAGCTGGAGACATTCATTAGTTTTGCTGCTGTTACTGCTTTTGTTTTTGAATTCGAAATGTTAATCACGTTGCTAGCGGGTAGCAGCCAAATGCAGCTATTACAAAGTAATAGATCACAGGAATCATTGCACTCATAAAAAGAATGTATCTTTTATATAAATTTAAATATTAAACTACATGAGCTCATGTCTTCAGTCCTCACTCAGAAAGAGTCGCCAAGCCAGGAGGCAGTCTCCGGGAGCTCATCTAATTCATGCTAGTCTGCATACTTAATTGGTTAACGCAAAGAGTTTGAGAACACTTTTTGTTTGCCTTTTTTTTCCCTCCCTTCTGTCTGAATAATTTCTTTAAGTCTGCCTAGTGCATTGTGGTCCGCTGAATGTTTTTCCAAGCGTGAGTCCCAAGCTTTCCGACTTCAGGGCTAGCCCTCAGCTGTTGGAGTCTCTGGAGGAATGGCATTATCCTGGCCTCCTTTCGTGGGGAGTCTGTCTGAGCAGTGACTCATACAAGAGGGAATCCCTGAAGAATGATCAAATCAATCCTTCAGCCGGGGAGGCAGCGGCTTGGTGCTTTCAGTTTAACCCGTTACTGGCTGCTTTTCAGCCAAGAGGCATATGAAACAGAGCAAAACGTACTTTGCAGTGCTGCGACTCTGCATCTCACAGAGGAGGAATGAGGCAGCCGAGGGGTGAAGGCAAGGCGCACTCAAAGGACCGTGGGAGGAGTGCTGTGAGGACCTCCTCTGAAAGGAGAACCCCTCACGGTGTGGTCCAGCACGCAGGCAGAAGACACCCCTTTGAATAAATAACGACTTTGTTCAGAAGTGGACTAAAATTTGCTCAAGCCTTTTACAGTACCATAAAAAAGTTCTCATGTGTTGAAATGAGTCCTTATTTTATGGGATTTTGGTCGATGTTTTATTGCTCGCACATCACACCATATTTTCCAGTGATGAACGATGGTATAAAACGACCGTCCAAGAAACCTAGTGGTAGTAAAAATGTGAATGCTGAGTGTGCTTTGAGAGGTTCACTCTCTTAAATTCAGAATTTCCTTAGACTGGGGTGTCCCACGATGACTTTGTCTCTTACAAATTACACTAATAATTGTTTTTCTTATCTTCTTTCACTTTCTGTCACTCTGTAGTCATACTTTTCTCTTCCTGGGTTTCAGAAGGGTCTTGTCAGTCTGCGTGTCATGGTTGTTGGGTGCTAGGTTTAGGACGTCGAGTACCAATCTGGTTTTCATCAGAAGAATTAGTACTTCCTAAAATATAAAAAAGTTTGCAACTTCTTACCAGCAAGGGCCCTTGATGTCTGTATGCTGGTATTCACTGTGGAGACAAGGTGTGCGTTTTAGTTACAAAAGTGGCTGACATGAGGTTGATGTTTGATAGCTATGGGAGGAGGTCTTTGGCTAGGAGGGACAAAATATCTCCTGTCTAACACACAGATCTGCAAGAGCACATAATTATAATTATGAAATTGTAATAAAAGACACTGATTTATTTACTTATCTTTTTAAAACTTTTAATGTAATGTCTAGATTATAAATGTACCAGGCAACAAAAATCTGAGGGAAGTTCAGAAAATGCAGAGGTGTTTGGAGAGTATGTTTTAAGGATGATCTATGTCAGCTACCTTTTTTTGGTAACAACTGCGAACACTGTGTATTTGTTTTCAAAGCTAGTTTTCTGAAGGTAAGGTGAGTTACTAAACACAAAGCAGCACAAAAACCTAACAGAAATGACCAGACTGCTGGCTCCTAGTATATCAGATTATGATTAGTGATCTATAAAACTGAGTGCGGTGGAAAAATCCGAGTTTCTCTTCACTCAGTTCACAACGTTTCCTATAACTGATGAGTGAAAGCTCACTGATGAGACACAGAGCCTATATCCCAAGCACCAAAGCACGGGAAAGTTATGGGTATGTCTTCCTGGCACGCTCTAGGATGTTGTAGAGTTGCCCAAGATATTTCGGGGTTTAGCAAGAGTCTCACACTAAGATCTGAAAGAGTTAATCTACTCCGAAAACTGCTCCTTGCTCAAAAATTGCTCCTTGCTCCTGTAGCTAGAATGGTTTTGGCACTGGAACTAGCTCAAGTATTTCTGGACTTCATGGATTTGGCCAAGTCTAGACATACCTAAGAGATCAGGTTAAACTGACTGAAATCTTCATTATTAGCAAGTTGCAATCTATGGGAAGAAATGGATATTTGGTATATTATTATTAATTATCATTCAGTTGAGTTTCCACTCATTAAGTTAGAGCTCCTAGCCCATTTCTTTGGTTTTGTGCTTAGTGACCAGAGCTCAAGGCAAGAGTTTTAAAGAGCAAAAAGGCAGAAACGTAACACCCAACTTCACTACAGGATTAGTTTCTCAAATAACACTGACTTTGAAATTCTGATTCTG